CGGGGAAATCACACTACAGCACTGGGCTTTTCTTCCCGAATCCTACTAGAACAGAAAGATGTTTAAAAACATTAATAATTATAAAAGCAACATCTTACATTGTGCCCTGTCCTGATGTTAATTTTCCATGGAAGCAATCAATAGATTTACCACTGAGGCATTAAGATGGATTTTAACACTAGAGATGTCTGGGTCAAGAGATTCTTTTGACACACCACCTGTGAAGGAGACTGCAAATTGTTAGTGGGTTGTTGCAGGCTATCATGAAAGATTTCTGCAAAAGAGCGCAGGACTTTAGGCTCCATTAAGCAATTTAACTATTGATGAAAATATCTGCAAGTTGTTTGAAATGATCAAGGGGATTTTTAATTGCTTTGAAAGAAGAGCTTGATAGCAATTCCTCTGAAGTAAATGAAATTCCTTAGAAATAGGGGGTTGGGACTGGGGGATGACATGAGAAATTGAAGCACCGTTCTTCTAAGCATCGTGAAACCACTATGTTCAAGTGATTTTGGCTCACAGTACTACACCATACAGCTCCCACTGTACACAGCTGGGATGGGTACATACCTGGAAAGATCTATCCTACATTGGGCATGCTAATACCAGGAAGGTTGCAGAAAGCCAGAAAGGAGCTCAGTTCAAGAACAAGTTAGAGAGTTCAGCCTCTGGGTTTTGGGTCTCTTTTTGAACATACCAGTGACACGCATTATGTGGTTGCACCTAAGTTTCCCCATTTGAAAAAACAGACAATTATCTTTACCTGTTTTAAGGTCCATGCCCCAGAACACTGGAAAGACTAACTGTAAGGGAATTTCAAAATCCTACTCAGGAGTAGAGAACCTTAAACAAAAAGAACACTGTATCATTCAGGTTAGAGGCAACATTTGATCCAAAATAACAGATAATAAAACATGAGCGAAGTAGAAATATCTCACATTTAAATCTTTTTTCTATATGGAAAAGTATCCAGGCAACATAACTAAAATTACCGTGTCTAAAAACAGACAGTAGGCTGTACTTTTGCTAAATGGGACTTTATACAAGACAAATTGACGGCAAGTAATCCATCACTCTTCTGTATAGCCCAGTGCTTTAACAACCTTGAAACAGTAATTCTTCAAAGGGCCTCATGACTTCCTGATAATCTGCTGCAACCTGTTATTAATGGCTTCATTCACTCTCAGGTTCTCCTTACAACAGAAAGCTTATTAGCACTAAAAATGAATCTATTTTGTCAACAATTTACTCCAGCTGAGGTACCCAGCCCTGATATTCTCATTCTTCACCCTGTTTTTTGTGTAGACCAGGCTTCCATTTGCTGGTTTTGCTCCTCCGGTTCCTTCACAGGAAGCAACGCAGCCTGAGTGCTTTAACAGAGGCTTTTGGAGAGGCAAGAAGGTATTATAAATCATCACTAATTTAGAAGTTCATTTTTAATGGGTTACATTTTATTCGCTTCAGTTGAACACCATTATTTACAGACACAAGTTAATAAAACACATCACGAAACAATAAAATTTCAACAGCTAATATTTATAGGTGCATAGTTCATGCTCAATTACTTTTTTTTATATGTATAATACATACACATATATATAAAGCTCTCACAATAAGTCATCTCTGCACAGAAAGAATAGTCATAGGAAACAAATAAAAATTGTATCATAAACAATATCAAATTACTGACAGGCTATCAACAAAACATGTACAGAGTTAGAAATAAGCAGTAGACACTTAGGTGTTTTTACTTAAATATTTTCTTTTTTAACTTTTAAACTTGAAGCCACAATATCCACAGCACAACAATGACCCTGCCAACTACCTTTCATTTCAGCAGGAGGGAAATGCTGAAACAAGGTGGATGCAGTCACAGATACTCCAATCATTGCTGATGGAAGACTTCAAAATACACCGTAAAAACTGTAAAAAAATTTTACGACTGGGCACATTGGAACTCAGCACTTGTACAGGATGGGACGTCTTTAGTAGTTAGTAGATTTCAGGAGATATAAAGGAAGGGAAGGACTCTCATGCTTCAGGTTCATAGTCTTGGTACTCTTCCTAATGAGGAGAGCAGAAATCAGCGCTACTAGTATTTTAGATAAATACATCCTAGTTTCACTGCTTGTTCTAGTCCTAGTGTATTCAATGCCAAAACATTATGGAATTTCATGTGATCAGGATCTTGCCATTTATTATTATTTTGTCACATCTCCCAGATACTGGGCCTTACAAGTTGTGGTATTTACAGGAGAGTTAGGCTTTTACAGTGGTTAACACGTCGGTCAGCCGATGTTGCCAGGACCTCACGAGGCCACCCATGGCAATTCACTTGGAGAGGCAGGAGGACTACCTCTGGGCTGAACTGCACACCAGGTGCTGCAGATACTCATACAAGTCAGTAAATCATTTAAATGTATGTTTAACTACTATCATTGCAGTGATATTCAAGGTGTTAGCAATCAAGCATGCCTTTAAGTCTTTTACTCGATCATGGCGTAAATGTTTTATATCTCTCATTTTCAGCCTAATTATCTGTGCTACTATAAAACTGCCACTCCAACTACCAATGCATCATGTCACACATTATAGTAATATTTTAGATAGCAGGTTCATGAAAAACAACAAAATAATTTACTCCCATTATTGCATTAACTTAAGAGTATAATCATGAATTACTGTGTTTTACAAAGCACGATGCTTTGATAAATGGCCAAGCTACTAAAACAATCTATGAAGATGCAGTTTTTCCCATATTCCCTATCGAACATAAGAAAAAGATTCAAGTCACTGCGCATTACTCAGAAAACCAGGCGCAAGTGTTTCGAAACACACACAATGTTTTCCTGTTAAACTATCAAGCAAGCAACGGATTTTCTGATTCCCAGCACTATACCTCTGGAAGACCTTGGCCAAAGAGACCACGTTTCTGCTGTGCCCTTGCAGCCTCACAGCATCAGCCTGTGCCAGGCTGATGTAACTCGAGCATGCAGCCCCATCCTGCGCCCTTCTCCTACGTGCATTCACAGCAAATACCACAACAGACTTACCTCTGGAGGCATTTCGTAAGCCTCATTCTCAGGATCCACAGGAACATCTGTATTATTCACCATTCCCTCCTGCAGGAAACCTTCTTCATTCTACATTTAAAACAGGAAAAGAAAAGTGACAGACTGTAACCGCTTGCCTTGTCATTTACGCCAAAGCATGTCTTTCCTCCCCATCAGTGGTTGACTTCTTGTCCTGTCCTTCGGTTGCGGGATATTGCCGGGGTTGTGAAGAGCTAGAGGACATCAGCTCCAGAGAGATCTTCTCCATGTTCCACAGGGGTATCCATGGGAATGACTACTGTCATCTTTCTGAATAGCTGAAGTGCTGATATCCCATTTCTCTCTTGCCATGGACAGGCCAAGAAGTCAATCTGACCAAAAGAACAGTACCACCACCAACTTGCTGAATATCTTTGGAAAATATTTTAATCCCACAGAAAATGCTTTGGTCAAGTCATGAAGCAAACCAAAACAAGTTTTTTGCTCCATAAGAAACTGATCTGGGAAACATAGTCCCACACAAATTGTTTAATTAGGTTATCACATTAATTTCTGTTTAACTACTTGGGGGAATACAGTCACAGGTATGCAAAAGTAGTTGTAAAAGCAGGCCAAAAGAATTGGGTAGTATCAAGACACACAAATGAAATAGTAATTCAATTATATATTTTTTTAATGTTATAGACACATCAATCCTCTCATAAATCACCGTTCAATTTACAGTTTTAGCCTTTTCAAAGTACATTTCAAAGTGGCTAAAAAAGGGAGAACTATTATAATTCAGACTATTGCATGCTGGTTTATTCCTTCCATTTTAGAAACTAACTGTACTGGGAAAAGCTTTTTTCCTTTAATGGGTCACACCTCTATATGCTTTCTTATATCAACCAGCATGTTACTCTATGCAGTATTAGTGTATGATACATGGCACTACCCGATACCCAGCTTCTTATACTTTTTTCTGGGCATCTGTTATTGACCATTATAGAAGCACTTGTATTTTATACAGCAATTTTCATAAGAGCCTCTTGGAATTAAGGGGATTGCAATGGTGTAAGGAATAATTTGCTGAGTAGGATTACTTAAGTGTTGTCCTAGAACTATAGATACTATTTACCATCTGAAACAAACAAATTATAAAGGAAAAAAACCATTCCAATTGGGCCAACTCCTGTAGTAGTTGTTACTACAGAAGTTCACAGAGAAGAAACATGAGTTTTGCCAGAAGAAAGACTGCTGGAGTTCATCCTGAACTGTAAGAAAATTAATATGAAAACAGACAGACTAGCTAAGTGGAGCTATTGTGACTATGCTGATTTATACCAGTTGCCAATCTAGACAGAAATGCACTAAAAACCAGTTACAGACACTCAGGAAGAAATTCACTTAAAAAAAAACCCTGCAGGCTGGTAGTGTAGACAGAAATACAAAATTAAGTAAGTCACAAACCAGACTAATGAGGTAATTCTTCAAAGTCTGCAATTTATAGGATAGTGATGCTAAATTAAATTTAGGATATAGATAAAATGAGCATAAGGGAAGCTAAACCTGAAACTCATCTCTGAGTTTAACAAAAATAGAAAATAATATGCAAAACAAGCGCATTTATCATGCTTCTGCTGTTCACTGTTTGCCACTTATCAGCTCCCTCTGTGGTTTAACCAGGTGACTGTAGTCATAATATTCTGTTCCTCACTTGCTGCATCTCTCCATGCACAAATTGTGACTTTATCTGCCAGATACAAATCCTGTTCTTCCTTGGTTCGGTCACCTCTTCTGGCACTGATGCATGTGCATGTACACAGGTTTTTCCACCCTCAAAGTCCATGATGTGCAGAATTTATTTCCATAATGTGGATTCTTCTCTCTAGCTCTTACTTCAGACTTTAAAAGGTCTGGTATGAAGATAGATCCTTTTTGCTTTAGCGGTAAACAGCATAGTCCGTGTGGAGTCAATGCCTACTATTCTGCCAAGTTCCCTCCATGCATGTGCCTGCTATCAGTTAACACCCTGCACTGCTCTATGGCATAGATAACACGGACAAATTCCAAAAGTCAAGGGACATCAATGAATAAGGTTGCTAATATCTTTATTTAGGCCTGTGTCTTCCAGAAGAACTAATCATTTTGGATGTTTGACATGACAGATAACTTTTCAAGCATGAAATTATCAGGAAAAACTGGGCCCAATTACAGTTCTGCCCTAGCTTATCAAAACACACGAGCTCCTAAGATTATCTGATGTGCAATATTTAATTACCTTAGCTTCTAAACAAATTTTAGGAGTATTCATGCCTATTTACTTTTATGAGAAGTAGTTCAATCCCTATCAGCTTTGACTGAAATAGCTAAATAGTGTGTGCGATGCAAATTTTAAAGCTATTACTGAGCACTTGATCTAACATACCAGCTCTAAGGACCTACAGCTCCAGTCTACTGCTCTCCTGTTTAATCCAAAATATAATTTAACTTCTGCTTATAATTTAACTCCCCTATCATTAAGAAACAGTTTTAGCTAACAATTGGTACATCACGTAAAACTGTGCCCAAAATCAGTCTTGAGGTTGTACGAGGAAGAAAGCATGCTGCTTAATGTTATCTGTAGCAGGAAAACAGATGGCAAGTGAAACTGCCAGGACCATTAGTAATGATGAAGAAAAAGATTTGCCAGCTGAATTTCAAAGAACAGCTTCAAAGCTCATACACTGTTTGTTAGGAACCTCTGCCACGGGTCTGGACTTTCCATCAGGATTACAGAGACACAATGCCTAAAAAAGGCTGATTTTATCATCTTCCCAAGTTCCTTCAGCAAGTTCAGGATGGAGATTCCTCTACAGCTTCAAAGAAAACAATCAGCAGCACTAGTAAAATACAGTATCAATCACAACACCAATATTTTCTCAAATGAAGCAAATCATAAGCCATATCAAACCATCAAGGGAACTCTTTGCTTGGGAAAGGCTTATCACCTTTGTCCAGCTGCAAACAGTACCACAAACACCACCTTTCATGTTGATGTCGCTGCAGTGCAGATGAGAATGACATTACTCAAGATCACATTTGTTACACTTAAATGTACAGCATAGGCGGCCACACCATTTTTAATGGTGGCTCTCTCTGCTTCTGATGTACCATTCCTCCGAAGTTACGATATCACAAAAGTGAACAACCACCCCCAGTAACACAGAGCCATCTAAGGTACACCTTATATCATTATTTACCTGGTTTAAAACAAAGAAATGCAATTTTACGTTCTCATGATCAATAATTCCATATCATAATTCAGTTTTGGAAGAGGAAAAACACCTAATAGACCAATTCTTGTCTTAGTATTAATGACAGATTTTGAAGTTGCCACCTCTATTTTTAAACTATATAGAAGGGCATTTCCAGAGGGAAAGCCTTTTATTAGAAGATCTGAAAAGCTAAACAAAAGCTTCTCAGAGATGAAGTCAGTTTTTAACTGGGAAGCATGAGCTCTTTTTGCAGGGAAAACACTTTAAAAAAAGGGAAAATTGCAACTCATGCAATAAACAAGGTGTTAAAAGCACGGTGAGCTGAGGACATCTGCTTGTCCCCTGAGGCTTCCCTTACGAAAAACCAAATGCCTGCCTATATCTTGGTTCGAAGCACAGACACTCTGGGTAAGACTCATATTTCTGCACTCTCCAGAGAGTCTTGTGCCCTCAGACCCTCCTTCCCACCTCATCACACTCTTGGTGGAAGGGGAGAGACTGTTTAAGATCCTCTATGCATGGAAAACAGACCAAGAGGTCTGCTCATGGTACCACACCTATGTCAGCACCATGTGGCAAAACGGTCACCTTCAGGTGTGTGCATTCAGTCCTTGCGGTGACATGTCTTTGAATGCCAAGTTACTGCCATCAGAAATAAATTATCAGAGTCACAGACAACAGCAACTTCAAAAGGAAGCATTGCAACTGTAATCTAGCAGCTACTTAAGCGTTATAATTTACTATCTCTCTGGATAGCAACATGTTTTTTCTTTCCATTATGAATGCTGAAGGAGTCTTACAGTCATGTATATCCTCATGATTACTGGAGACTAATTCCTTCTGGAGTGATTCCATATTCTGTGATAAATAAACCAGGCTATCAAAGCGTCAGCTCTTAAAACGTTTATACTGGCAAGAGGAGATCATCCTGGAAGTCACTTCCACTAATCACAGAGGTCAGAAGGCACCTCCGGAGATCATCTAGTCCCAGCTGCCAGCTCAGAGCAGGGTCACCTAGAGCAGGGCTGTGCCTGGTTGGGTTTTGACCATCCCCACAGATGGAGACTCCACAGTCTTGCTGGATAACCTGGTCTACTGTTTGACCACTCGCACAGTGAAAAAGCTTTTTCTTACATTTAAATGCAGTTTCCTGCATTTCAATTAGTGCCCACTGCCTCCTGCCATTTCACTGGGCACCGCTGAAAAGTCTAGTTCAATCCCCTTTACCACCCCCCCATGAGGTATTTATACACATTGATAAGCTCCCCCCATAAACTTTCACATTCGTGTTGTTTCACACTTGCTGTTTTTCTGTCTGTTCTTGAGAACTCTATATAAATTTCCCATGCAGATATTGTGGGAGGCTTATTTCTTTAGTATAAAGCTCTACTGTCCCCAATCAATTAATAAAAATAAGGCTTGCCTCAAACACCTAACAAATTAATGTAACATGAGAGTTAATTTCAATAAAATAGATTATGATAAACTCAATGAGCACTGGTTACACCACATCACTTGCCAGTCTGTTATTGAGTGTTTTATAATTATTGACTAGCTGTGAATCCAAGGCACTATGGAAAAAGTAGTGAACTAGAATAGGGAAAAAGCTGGTTTACAAGATAATTTTGGTACGCCTCTTTTGTAAAGACCTTTAAAAAGTCCCTTTTGGAAAGACCTTTGAGATGCCCAACGAATGTTCCATGCAAAACATTTTTAAAGTAGTCCAGTTTGTTGTACACACACACACCAGCTGGTACCTGGGAAGGCCTGAAATAAGAATGTAAAAAATAATAATGAAAAAAATCACATCCAACAGCATTATTACCTTGCAAAATTACCATGTACTGACAGATT